TTAAACATTTAGAACGAGTTGATTTGACAATATACCTGTGTTCGTGAATCTGGAACTCTATTTCTGGGAATTTTCTATTGACATGGATAATTTTAATTACATGTAGAGAATTTGAGTCTTTTCTCCCAAGCCCATTTGACACTGCATTATGAAAATTTTCACTTGGCATTCATACATTTGTCTACAGCATACGATATTAAAATTTTTACTCTCATTTGTATGACAGATTCAAGCACTATAACATGCTGGAACTGTGGAATGGTTACATTAATCAACCAAAAAGATTAAAGTTTAGGATGTCTGTATATCATTTTCAAGGATGAAGTTTTTAAAAAAAAGGCTACAGAGCAACTTATTCGGTTAGATAGATATGGCCAAGTTTATGCGGCTAATTATAGTGGTTTTGATCAGAACCAATTGGAGAAAGATGTTTGTTGTTGGTGCAATTCTTACAATATGTAGTGTTGTAATACAGATTCCTTCACTTCCTTACCCACTGACCAAATGGATTTTACCAAGAACCACAATAGTTTCCTCCTACAAACATTTGAACACTGCAACATATTTGATTGAAAATCACCCTCTATCTGTTCAATATGCCCGTGCACTTGCTTCACTTAATTCTTCGGCAAATTTGAATCGCTTGGTGGTAATTTCCAACGAGCAGCAAAGGGTTTCTCCACGTTGGAGGAGAAAACAACATATGAAATCGACAATGGATACTCCACCATCACCACCTTATATTGTTAGAAAACTGCCTGATCACTTTGTAAGTTCCTTATTCTTGTCATATTGATCTTGGAAATTTCAATTATTTCAGTTACCTTTCTTCCTCAAGACTTTACATTATATGCAGAGGCACGTATTGTCATTGTCACCAGATGAGGCACTTGCATTTGCCAAAAGAGAGATTGAAAACGCCCCACTCGTTAGTGAAGATCCTGAGCTATATGCTCCCCTATTCCGAAATATTTCTACTTTCAAAAGGTACATCTCACTATACTCTTTTTCTACTGGAATTCCCCGAGTCATAATAGGTAGATTTATTTTGAAGAAGACTATTTATTTGACTTTACTCCCTCTTTCTTTGGTTTTATTTTTTATTTTTTTAGCCACAGCGGTATTAGTCCTTATATTCACACTTTTCACAATTTTGCTTTCTGCATGTTTCAGTCCATCCTCTAATATTTACTCCTAATTTTTTAGACAGAAATTCTTTATTTCAGCATGAATTTCCTCTTTTTTCCAATATATATAGACACTGCCTGAAAACAACGGTTTTTATATCAATTTGTGCTTTGAAATCAATGTTCATATTGCATCTTTGAAGAACACTGTCTCTCATTTGTGGGTTTTCTCGAGTTCATTTTTTGCATAGAATGTTTATATCAATGTCCAGTATTTCACATATGATTCATTTCAGGAGCTACGAGTGGATGGAATACATACTTAAGGTTTACATTTACCAAGAAGGGACTAAGCCTATTTTTCACGACCCTCATCTCATAGGAATTTACGCATCTGAAGGATGGTTTATGAAGTTAATGGAAGAAAACAGGCAGTTTGTAACAAGGGATCCAGAAAAGGCTCACTTGTTCTATCTTCCATATAGTGCACGCCAGTTAAAATCGGCTCTTTATGTCCCCAATTCACATAATCTTCGGCCGTTGTCAATCTTCCTGCGGGACTATGTGAATATGCTTGCGGAANAATCGGCTCTTTATGTCCCCAATTCACATAATCTTCGGCCGTTGTCAATCTTCCTGCGGGACTATGTGAATATGCTTGCGGAACAGTATCCTTTCTGGAACCGTACTCATGGATCAAATCATTTTCTAGTTGCTTGCCACGACTGGGTACGGTATCTTTTTGACATGTACATGTATACGCGTACTAAATATTAGCTTCTTATACTTAATCCACAGATTGTTATGGATAATAAGCAGTGCAAAATATAGCAAAGTAAATGCATACAGATTTATGCTGATGCTGGTTGATTCTCAATGTGAGAGGTATAACCACTTGCTGCCGATGAATTTTAAGTTTAATGACGAAGAGGTTTCAAGGTTTTCACGTTCAAATGGCACTTTATGAGTCCCTGTAACTGCATACTTCATAATTTAGCCATTACACTGTAATTAAGTTCTCTAATAGAAATGTCTGCCTGTTTCTGTTTCTGTTTCTGTTTCAGTTTTCAATTCTTCTGTTATTTTCGCTGTAGTTATATTTATTATTAGTTTTCATTTATCTCCCCTTTCTCTCAAGTCCGGTCTATTTCATTATTACCCACAGGGACCATATACTTTGAAGGAGCACGAGGAACTTAAAACGAACACGATAAAAGTTATCTGCAATGCAGATGCCTCAGAAGGAATCTTCAGAGCTGGAAAAGATGTTTCCCTGCCAGAAACTCTTATTAAGAATCCCCGAAGGACTCATAGAAATCTTGGTGGAAAAAGAGTGTCACAACGGCCATTTCTTGCTTTTTATGCCGGACATATGCATGGGAGGGTCCGTCCCATACTTTTCAAATACTGGAGTGACAAAGACGAGGACATGAGGATTTATGGGGCTTTGCCAAATAGAGTATCAAGAAATATGTCTTATCCCGAACACATGAAGTCAAGCAAATATTGCGTATGCCCAATGGGACACGAAGTGAACAGCCCGAGGATTGTTGAGGCCATATACTACGAGTGCGTCCCAGTTATAATTGCCGATAGTTTTGTCCCTCCGTTCGATGACGTACTCGATTGGAATGCATTTTCCGTCATTGTTGCCGAAAAGGATATCCCGAAGCTGAAAGAAATACTCTTAGCTATCCCTTTGAGACGATATCTTACCATGCAAACCAATGTGAAAATGTTGCAGAAGCATTTCCTCTGGAACGCAAAACCGGTTAGATATGATCTGTTCCATTTTATTCTACATTCAATATGGAAAAGCAGACTTAACCAGATTCAGATACCACAGTCATCATAATTCCCGGTGCCTTTTTCTTGCTGGGTTCTGCTGCTGAAGGTATAGCCAATCTAAGATGAGACGATGAACAGATGTCAAAATCTTTCAGGTAAGAATTGTTCGAGTTTCACAGGCTTATCCATTTTCTTGGTGGGAGAAGGCAAAGTCATTTGTAGATTGTCAGTAGAAGAGACTTGATCAAAATCTAGGACATCAGGGACCTACTTTGCATCAGACCTGCAACTAATGGAATATAAATCTGAATATTTGGTCTGATGATCATATTTTCTTTGCACTGGCAGAATAGTGAAGAGAATGTGTGTGCAAATTGATAGAAATTGAGACAGAATAGTGGAGAAAATAGAAATTGAAACTTTATTGTACACGAATCACAAAGAAAGTTACCTTTTGTACAAGAGTTACCAGTAATTATAAAACAAAATATTCTGCACTAACTATATAATCAAATTATTAGGCAATAATCTACGAAAATATGACAAAATCATGAAGAAAATGGAAATATGACAAATTTGTGATCTTATTTACGAATCCGAACAATATTTTTACTCAGTTAATTGTAATTGTAGTTCTTTCTTCTTCTCGAGGAATAATTTACATGTTGGACTCGAAGGCATTGGTGGACAAATTTCCTTCAGAATCCCCCATCAAGTTCAAGAAAGTGGTTTAACTATTCAGATCCATAGTTCCATTCAACTGAGAAGTCAAAGAATTCTTCTATATCAAAGCTCAAGCCTGTTGTAACTTCACTTTCTTGATCATCTGCGTCTTCTGTCCCACAATTATCCACTGCATTAATCTCAAGCAGAGTTGAAGAACCATCTATGGTTTCCCCCATTCTGTTTAGTTTCTTGCATGATGATGAAATAGAGTTAGTTTAATCTAGTTAACATAATATCTGTAACACTCTTTTTTAATATTTAAAAAATTCCCACTTTTTGGAAAAAGAGAAGTTACATTTAAAAATAAATAAAAATTCTTATTGTCTCGTTAATTCCCACATTCATTTAATCACATATAAAACAAATATTGACTCCAAAAGAGAAACAAATAAAAAGTAAAATTTACATTTGGTCCTAATAATAAGGAATGAACGTCATATCACGAAGAATGTATTTCCATGGTCGACATAAGAAAGCCAACTGAGTCAAGACTTTAATTAAAGATTATTTTTTAGAAAGTAAGTTAAGATTTTAAAAATAAAACCCACAACCTGTCCACGACCCTGAGGTGTATCGGCAGGGACAGGTGGTAAGTCAACCTGGTAGCCCATAACCGGGCAGTCTTTGCCACAATGCGGAGGTTGTAGCTATCAACAAAGCGAATTCCATAGAAATTGAAGTTGGCATCACCGTGGTGGTGCGGCCTTGGCTGTTGCATTCCAGGTGTGGTCTACAGTCCGCGGTTATACAGCAGAAGCGACCATTGGTGTAGGTGCAAACATAAGTTTATGTGTATATATAATTCTTTTGGATTAATCTATTTTGACAGAAGAAAAATAACAAAGGTTTACATAATCCTGAAAGTGTTTTAATTTCTCTAATAATAGGATGCCATGTGATATTATGTCAAAAATTATGTCAATCTTTATGTTATTGAAGCATGATTCAATTCTTTTACATGTCCAACATAATAAGATCTATTTCTAAGATTAATATGACATGAACAAGTACAGCAAGGACCAAATCCAGCTAAATCTCTGTTTCGCCACTATTTAGCAGGATTTCTTATATGTGAGAATAGAGCAAAAGCTAGCTACTTATGAGCAAATGAACAAGTTATAGTGCACGATATACCAGTCAACATTTTCTATAGTCTAGCAGCGCGGAGTTGTTGCTTAAGGAGAGGCCTGATATACTTGTGATAGCCATCAGGTATATCTGATTCATTTAGAGGATCCTTCCACGCTGCCTCGTAAAGTTTTGGATAGACATTTCCATCATAACGGCCAAGAATTGATCCTAAGAAGTGGTCAGTATAGTTGAATGCATCAACAAGAGCTATAGCATTTGGACGAACCTAAAAAATAGATCACAAGTTGGAAAATATGAATACATCATATTCTAGGATCCCACAACCATAACAAAAGAAATTGGAAAAATCCAATGTTGGCCACTGTAATGCCTGCACTTGTAGCAACTAGGACACCAGCCTTTAAAATGGAACACTTTAATCCTCAAGCTTTCAGTTTAGTTGCAGCATTCGTTCTCTAAATTGTTTCTATACCCTTTCTTTTTTCTTTTATTTTTACGTCTTTTTTAGTGGAGGTAAGGGTGAATTGCATTTTTCAATGTTTGTCAACATTCTAGCAGAAACCCATAAGGGCCATTCCTGAAACTAAACTGAAAGGTCAAGGATTAAAACGATCCATTTTCAGAATTTGGGACAGACCAAGTTACTACAGGTGCTACACAATGAAATTACGAACCTGCGAATACAAGGCTCTGAGCTGATCATTAGCAAGCGAAGCCTGCTTCGGAGTTATGCAGCTTGTAGCAATGAAATCACCCTGGTGCTTGTGAAGGAGAAATAGGTAATAGACACTGCATAGCATCTCTAATTGTTTCTTGACACCTTTACCGGGAATGTCCTGTTGCAGCTTCTCAATAAACCTACACAAGAAGGAAGTCTTTTTAACATTCTATAGCAAAATATCGAGAATGAGAGAGAAGACTCAGCATTCCACACTATTTTAACCACTCTTTAGTACACCAACTTGAAGAGAAAATACTCAGACAAATAGAAGTTGGAAGGTTCTTATTCATCCCATCATGAAAGATAATCAATGTAAACAAAGGCGCAGAAATAACTTCAAAAACAGTCATTTCGCAAAAAGTTAAGGAATCTAGAACAGATATTTAAAGTATAGAATGGAAATATTATGCGGTGAAGAGATACTACAGTCCTAGTTAACAATTCAAAGGCTACTTTTAGGAACTTAAGAAACAAATATTAAATCACTTCTACTCCAACTTTATCTATTCTATGTTGAGAACAAGATTTTGTTCGACAACTTAAACTAGACATACATGGCTGGAGAAATAAAGCTCATAAATGTGTGATGCCAATGAAATATTTAGGATTGAATTCATATATATTGTAAGCAAGAGAAGAATGAAAAGAAAGCTTACTTTGAGACAACAATTAATTGGCAGTGAGCGATGGCTGCCTCAACTAAATCAGCTGATAGCTCAGCAAAACCTGAGTGGAATAAAAATAAGGGAAAAATTAGAGGATATTTAGAAGCTTTAAAAGAAAGCAAAATTCTAATACAACAAGAACATGTTATTGATGATAAAGAATGCGCATAGAAAAAGCAATCAAAACTTTTTAGGTAACAGATCATTTAAGTTTACAACCTGATATACTAAATTTTAACAAAATTAAAATTGGATCCCAAAAAAATTCATTCTTGTCAAGTGAAAGCACCTTCTTCTGGATTGGCGAATTTGCTCAGATTTCGAGCACAAGCAACAGACATTCTGGCAGCCCTTGCCTCAAATGCCTCCAATACTACACTTGGCTTTAGCCAGTCCTCAGCTGCATGACATCAGGCAAATAGATATCACCAAACTTGCACGTGTATGTAGCTCATATATGAATCCTAATTTGAAAGAATGGTTTTCGGTGCCTACTTCCATGGGCAGTATTATATTTAGAGGAAACATCAAAACACTTTTAGATAGCCATATAGTGAGAATCTTCTGATAATCAACTCGTATTCAACTCATGGCTTATAATTAAGTTGGGAGATACACCTGGATTTTATAAAAAATAATAATAATAAATAAAATAAATAAATCAAAAATTCATTTCTCAACGTCTTTCTTATCAGATAGAAATAAAGTTTTGACAGCCTTGAAGAGCCTGTCGATTTCAAAGCCACAGCCACATGACATAATTTGTTTGTCTCATGTGAGTTGAGCATGTAAACATTATATTGGGCATTCGAATTTTCTTTCTTTCTTTCTTTCTTTTTTTTTTAATGGGCATACAATATATTTTTTTGTCTAGCATATGACTGGTAACAAATCACAGTCAGCATCAGTGGAGGGTCTAGCAACTAGCTGGCATTCATCATCTACCACACCTCGCTCCGGGTTCACTAGAGTGCTCTGGGACAGGTCAAGTCAGTTGTATTTTCAAGAAGAAAAATGTACCATTTTGTACATCGGAACAGCATTGCATTAGACGTTCAATTCTTCCCATATAGGCTATCGTCCCAACTGGCTGTCTCCCAGTTCCCAACTGTGAAGCTGTCTTCATGAGAAACCTAGCAACCTTCAGCAGGAACTAAATAATTTAGCAGAAAACCCATGATCGAAGAAATGTTTGACATTCAAACGATAAACAATGAGGTGCAAGTGTTAAATAAAAAATATGAATGTTCAATTTAGTCGTCGCATATGGCTAAATGATCCACCTTACTGTCACACTCCAGCAGACAAGGTACACTATACAGCATGAGGATAGATGTAACTAATGTCAAAAAGAAGAATATAACACAAGGTAGCAAGTGCACCAGGTTAACATCTTTTCACGAGTAACCACCAACATAAATTTGTAAACACATTTGGATCAGGCAATATTTGCAAGCAACAACAGTAAGGCTCCTATTAGCATTTTTGGCTCAATTGAGAAATACTTCTTAAAACACAGATTAGCCAAAAACAGAGCTGTTGCAAATACAACATATTAGTTTTAAAAGATCGATGTGCAATACCAAGTTTTTCAGTATACAAGAGCATGAGGCTCAGATTAGTCTTTTTGGCTCAAATGAATATGAATCTTTACATTTATAATAGGAAATCCAACATGAGAAAGAATTCAAAATGCGAAAGGGAAGGTAATGAAACTAGGATACTATTTTAGATATATTTCCCTTCCCCTCTCTACCAAAGGAGAGAATCCATTTAATCTCCACAGAACTATTTATTATTCAATAAACTCCGGTCATCTGCAGGAAAAAATTCTTGCCTACAGCCAACAAAGGTCCACAAGCATCATAGAGAATACCTGTAGAAGCAGCACAATGTTGTCTCCTTCATATGTACAAGCAGGAACATAAACTGTAAATAATTCTGGGAGCCCACTGCTACAGAGGTAACCATGGCCTCCACATAATTTTCGACATTCTTCAATTCCATCCTAAAAACAGAAAAAACGTGAAGCCTAAATTTAAATAGGAAACATGTTAAACTGATGGTTTGCAGATCCATAGAGTTAATGCAGTAAAAATTCTTCGTAGCATTTTAAGAGAGTGAAACTTTAAAAACCAGAAGGAAATGTAGAATCAGAGATTTGACAGGAAAATGACTTTCCAAGAGATTATTCATGTTGCAGTGCCAATCCAAGAATACCTCCTTACTCAATGCAATGAGAAAGATCTTGAAAATATATTTGGTCAAGCATAGAAGCAAAGCACAATCACTAGAAACATATCAAATTTTAAGAAAATCTTCTGGTGGAACACCCATAGGCTATACAATTTTAGGGTTATCACAATAGCAAACTTATGCCATGAACTCTAAAAATGAACACAAGCTTTACATAGTCATGCTAAACTCACACTTCTTACTGTCAGTTTACTCAATCTTTATAACAGCCAAACGTGTAATTGTAGAGAGTGAAGCAAAACTTTCTTTAATCAGTAGCAAATCACTCCAACTCATACTAAAAGCATGCAGCTTCCCCGCAGTCCCCACACACATTGGCGGAGATAGAGAGAGACGGTAAAGAAAACTTTATTACGTACAGCTGTGACAGAAGTAGTCAGCGACTTCAACCCTGCAGTGCATGCATGAACCTCAGGCAATGTTGAGAAGTCATTAGCCTGCAGTTTCTGGGTCACATCCGTGTATAGCCATTTTAGCCATTCACCAACAAATCTGAAGGCATAAGCAGAAGCTAGCAAAGGGAAGAGCCTACTTTGCTGAGTTTTGTAGTTAATGACCTGTAAACCGAAAAGGTCCCAATGGGGATTAATAATTAAGTTTACCTCAAATTACCTTCAAGATAAGCATACATTGCACAGATTTTAAACCAAAATTAAATTCATGAAGCATGAAATGAACATATTTTGTGAAGCACCAAGATCTTAAAGCATTCAGTCCATATCATACACTAGTCATATCAATCACCATAATACTTATCGAAGTCCATATTGCAGTAAGTCGTCGATATTCCCTCAGCAAATGTTGAATCCCGGAAACAAGTGACCATGCACACCAAATTAATGAATTAAATAGTCATACGTTCTTTCTGGTAAGTAAATAGTATACACACTAATTCTAGCAGCCGTAAATCATCGATATTTTGTATAAGTGGAACCTAAACTTTGTACACACTAAACACAAGAACAGAAGAAGATGGAGGCACGGGGTGGCTTAGAATATCATGTACAACAATGCAAAGAGACAAATATACAGCATAATGCGCCAATGATCTAGCAGAAAAAGGGGGAAAGGAAAATCTTCTACAGAGAAATACTCAAATATTAAAACATGCAAATGAAATAAAGGAAAGATTATATGGTTCATTAACAATACTTTCGAGCTTTGAAGTGTAGATGACTAACTCTGATCAAGCATGAAAATTTCCTTTTAATTTGTATTATTTATTTGTCATGCATAGAACATGAAACCTTCAAATATACTAATTCTTTTAAGTGACTATGGATACTTAATTTTACAACATAAAAAGACGAAAACATACACTGGCTTATCTAACATTGTCCCTAACTTCTCAATGTCACATTTGTAAAGTGCTGAGCATCGCATAAATGTCAAATATGAGGGTAAAAAGAGAGAATCTACCCAGGAAATGTAGGAGTAATATGTGGAATAACAGAGACGAAATAAAAGCATGTACAGGAAAGTGTTTCCAACACAAACATTTAATTTGACAGCCTTCCTCTAAATAACTGGACAAGTGGATCATCTCTGTAACAACTGCAGCTAAGGCGTGTATTAGGTTCGCTGCAGCACGATGAAGAAAGTAAGGAGCATTATCAATTTTATAGTAGCATGAAACTAGGTCACAGGTGAAAATGTTGAACAGGATGACTGGTTGACTTGTACGTGCTTGAGAATTGTAGACCAGTTAATGATACATATTTCACCAAATGATCATATATTTAACATAACACTATGTTAAAATAGCATTTTTTTTTTTTTTTTTATCAGTGAAAAAGGCATGCCAAGGAAACATTTCAAGATAGTCTACACATCAAATAGGACTTGGCCATCAAAATGCACTCCAGGATACCTGATTTTCAGGTCCTCCATTCTGTGATCCGAATTGCCTACGGACGGCACTATACCTAGTAGCAATACAAACAGCTCGTGACAAAGCACAAGAAGCGTCAGCTACAATTGTTTGTCGTACATAAACCATAGTCCCATAGACCAACTGCCGGGGTACATCAGATTGCTTATATTTTCCTTCCCTCGTAACCTGTGAAACCCTATAGCATTCAAAAAGAAATTTGAGTCCTAGATGATCATACTTCAAATGCATAAATACACGCAGGTAATTTCATGGTAAATGGACAATGTAACTAAACCGTGGGTATCGCTGGAATGATGGAACTTTTCAACACTTTTGCTGATGGATAGAAAAGCTTTCGATTAAAATTGAGTAAAGTGAATGTAGTTAAAGATGTTTGCGGGAGTAATTGCTAGTACTTGATATAGATGCCTCAAATTCTCAACTTCTGAGTTTTTGGCATGCCTGCAATTGTATTTGTACTCGTGCCAAAAAATTTCAAGGTTTTTAACAATAAACATCCAACAAACAACATGCTTCAAAGACCAATACCATCCCAAAGTCAACAAGACTGGCATCATAAATATTCATAAACTATCCCGAATGGAAAAATGATAAGTGTAAATGCAAAATAAATCAGTATACTTGAGTTGAATGGCGACATACCTCATCAACATTTGGTCTCTCGGAATACGTACATGATCAAATCTTAACACGCCATTGTCCATGGTGTTGTATGCTCCATTTCCAAATTTTGTTCCAATATCACCAAGGGTTATTCCTGGAAGAGGAGTATGGTCCTCCAAGTTCCGTAGTTGGACAATAAAGCCTAAACAGTATGAATACTTAGACTAACAGATCCAGAACCAAAATTGGATATCAATGTCTATAGAGTTTTTATATTCTTAACATGAACTCCATGGTCTTTATAGACTAACAAATCCAGGAACAAAATTGGATATCAATGCCAATAGAGTTTATATATTCTTACCATGAACTCCATGGTCTTTACCATCTGTAATAAGGCGTGCATAAACAACAGCATGGGTGGACACTTTACCTAGTCCACCAGGCCACCACTATTCAGAAAATAAGACAGAGAATAAGGACCAAATTCGAGAAAGTCGATGAAGAAAACATAGAATCATAAAATTCATAACTACACTGAACCCACACATGGTTGACGTTCCAAATAAGAAATTAAAAAGAAAAGTAGAAACTGTAGTACAATAACCAAATGCGTAGTGACAAAAGATCTCTCCCAATTTTCAACAAGAAAATGAAACATTACCAACCTCTTATCAACCATGTTACTTACTTTGCTTGAAGTCAATGTCGGACTATGAAGTATGAATTCGTCAGTCTTAGGGTTAAATGTTGCAGTGGTTTCAAGACCTTGTACGTTGGAGCCATGACCAAGTTCAGTTTGTGCATAGCAGCCAATTATTTGCATCTTATAGGCGAACGGCAACCATTTTTGGTGTTGTTCATCAGTGCCCTGTCCCTTTATGGCAGGTATAAACATTCCCTACATACCAAAAAAGTGCAAGTGAGTCAAGAGGCTGGAGCAGTTTATATTGAATGGAGGACCTAAGAAGCGAGAAGGGAACTTATCATGGATTGAAAATTATTGAAAAAGAAGGGACTCTTAGTTTTCATATATGGTGCCAGGTATCAGATGGTAAAAGATGTGCTTGTTTACCTATATGTCATAAACGTTTATAAAAAATCAAATGCACGAATTGGAAAACAGAAAATACAAATTTGATTTTTTATTTATTTATTTATTTATTTTAAAGATAGAAAGCAACTAAAATGAAACAATTTTTAACACAACATATAAAAGCATATTCCTCTTTTTCCAAAGCACGAATTCATGTTGCATATAAACAGCTACAACATTTTCTCACTTAAGATTATCCAATTTAAACTACAGTTATCAATATCTAGCCTTCGTAAGTGGAATTGATTGACATGTGATAGCTATGTATTAGTTACAAGAACATAGAAAATCAAAAGATAAAAGAAGTACCCAATGAAGATCAGTAAAAGCGGGCTCATCAACATAAAACCTTAACTTAGCTGCCTCCTCTTCTGCAGTAATTGAAATAGTGAAGTCGTGAGATGAAAGACAATCATATGGAAAAAAAAATAAAATAAAATTTGTCAATGTACAAATTGAATTACATCAAAAGCTAAGTAAAGGGTTACCGGATAGACGAAGTTCAATAATCCGTTTCCATGCATAAGTTGCCTTCCTAATAGTATTCTTAAACAATTCTTTTCTTGGAAGCATAGTTCTGTCATCCTTTCGGAAAGCCTAGATCCCATAATAGCACATTGTTGTCATATAGACTTAAAGAAAAAAGTTAAATAATCATTTTATCAGAATTATACAGCTTCTCTTTGAGATAAATGAAAAATAAAAGCATAAGAAATATTAAAATGCTTTAGCTATAGATATCTTCGTAAATCACTTTCAAATCAATATTCATAACAAATAATGACATCATTTCATTAAATGCTTTCAAGCTATACACATTTCAAGCACTTGGCCGAATCCAACCACATTGTTAAACACCTTTGAATCTCCCGTGCTACATGAAATCCTCTTCATTCTTTACTAGTTCAAGATTCCTTGTACTTCTTGAAAAATCGGTTACTCGGTCAATTAATTTATAATACTTCCATGCACGAGTCCATCCCCAAATCTCCACATTTATCTATCCAAACAAAGCCTCACACAATGCCCTAGACATTGAAATGCTCAGACAACATGAATACTCAAACAAGATTCAATATTAAACCTATTTAATTGCTAGATAATTAGATGTGATATACTCAACAAAATTTCTTAGCACAAATTGAGTAGTTCCTTCTTTATATACTCATTTAGAAATAGTATTCTATGTTTCCCAGTAAAAAATCCAGATCAGAGTTGTAGTTCAAGTCATGTAAAGAAGAACGGCTCATCAGGGAGCACAATAAAAAAATGTACTTGTCCTTCCCAAATCAGGGGCGGAATTGAGGGGGGGATTATAGGGTCAATTGACCCTCTATATTTGTTGGGGGCGGGGGGAATTTGTTTAGCTTTTTTTGCCCTTGTTTGGGCCGCATTCTTTTGGAAAAATACATTTTTCAACAGTATTTTGATATTATTTCAATCGCACATTCTTCAATAAAATAATATTACACTCAAATCCAAAAATTTTCCTTATTTTTTAACCACACATTTTCCATCAATACACTATTCAAAAATTCATTCTTCCAAAAAATGGGGCTCAAACAAGGGCTTTTTTTTTAGCTTTTTTTTTTTTTATTAGAAGGTAGCCTATAAATTTTATTTTTAACCCCTTAACTCATGTCGTTTGGTCCGCTCCTGTCCCAAATTAAATCTTTTTTGCAAAGCAGTAATTCATAAGACTATTTTATTTTTAAACGTGAAAAGGGAAAGATCAAAATATTAAAAAACTTTGATGGAACTATTAACTTTTTGGTTCTTTAGGCAAACATTTGTCACTCGACTGAGAAGTCAAAAAGGACTCAATTTAGTACAAAAGAAGTATCAAAACATGCCAAAAAATTTGTCAATGCTACTTTTAAAGAAATCATACAAAATCAAAAATTGTTCATACCAATTGTTACGCGCTGCAATCAGAATCAGGAACCCTAATTAACACTACTCATTGTCCAACGTACGCCAAAATTACAGAACTGAAAATCAATTCAAAAAAGAAAAAAGACGCAGAAGAAACAAAATTACCGGATCACTGGCGACGAGCTTAGAAATTCGATCAGAAACTTCAAATGCGTGGCGAGAGCCCGCCCATACATACTTCATAGCATCCACATCGAACTGAGCCCTCTTCCTCTCATCCGAAAGATAATCCACTCGCTCCATTTTTCTCAGAACGCACCAACAGACCGACAAAACAAAACCAAAATAACAAAATCCCTGCACTTACATACGCAAGAACACGTTTGTTCTCTTGAATTTCCTGACTACTTCACGAGATTTGGCTTTAGAAAAAAAAAAATCTGGATCTATATCTATTTGTAGCAAATGTTGAGCTTCCCCATGCCAAATAATTTGTTCTATAAGGTGGTTCGGTAATAACATAACATTTATGACACATCAATTGGGTATATAACACGTGATTTTAGTGTCTCATTTCAAAGAGTGATAAATAAAGTAATTGTGAATTTACTCAAACTTGTGACTAACTTGAAGAGTGATTATTTATATAATTTTTCTATAAACATTGTCATAGAGGGGAACTTAGCATAAGTCTAGTTTTTGATTTTCATTATCTTTTCTGAGTTGAAATTTGTTGTCCATTTTTATTGTTTAATATGTTGTTCATCTTATTGCAAATTGACAAATCATGAAAAATTAATTTGCAATTAGGTGGACAGAATAAATGAACATCAAATCTCAACTCATCTCTTCTAACACGAATCTAGTCTGAGAATAGATACATTACTTTTATTTTCTAGTGAGAAAAATGCATCCCATTTCATTGGACAATGAAGTCTTGGAATCCACTATCACCATAGTGCTTATCACGAGTCTAGTTGACACTTATCCCACTACTTTATTACGAAGTAAATGAAAATGCATTCTACTTTATTAGGGTGTTTGACATCCATTTTTATGAAGAAAAAAATGAATTTTAGAATAGAAGATTGATGAAAAATGGGTGGATGAAAAAAAAAAGTTTTTGATTTATATGTAATATTATTTTAATGAAGAATGTGTAATTAAAAACAGAGAAAATATGTATTTTGATAAAAATGATAATCAAACGGGGCTAATGTGGTGGTTCCACTCCCACCCTTTATGGGTGCTAGTATGTATAATTTGAACTCAATTTACGTCTGCAATAAATGCATCATTAATGCATATAACCCATCTAATTGAACTTATTATGTATTCGTTTGACATGAATTTACCTTTGCTTTTACTTTTTGTAGAGAAGTTTCTTGAAAAATGTATCTTAATTATCACAGTTATTAAGATTAGACTGAACGTTTCAACCCGAAAACCCACGAAGCGAACAGTGATCCAATTCAATTGGCATCAATTGGTCCATTATCTAAGGATCTGGTCAAGAATCACTCAAATCGGTCCATAATTGTCCAAGTAGGGCAGGTTGAGTGGAAATCGGATCTGATTCAATCTATGTCGATTGTTACCAAATTGGTCCACACCAATATTCGGCCTAACAATGGCTCAGTGGTTGAATTATTGACCCATCGGTTGAAAAGACCCAATGATTTGTTCAAGTCGACTATTGGAACGTATCCGATGACTATGTTAATTAATGTTTGAAAACTAATTTTTAAAATAGGTTTTTTTTTGAGCAATTTTTAAAAGGAGATTAGAATAAGCTCTTTTATAAAATTAGTCAAGTGAATTCAAAAGTAACATCTGGATCTTAGAAGCTTTTATATTTTGTCACCTAAAGCGAGATTTAACATTATACTTCTTACAATTGTGGTTGAAAAATAAGGAAAATTGTTCGATGTACGTGTAATATTATTTTATAAAAGATTGTGTAGTTGAAAATAAGAGATGAAAGAATATATTCTTGGCATAATCTACAATATAATAAAAGTGTGGACTGAGGAGAAAGTTTTGAATATCAAAATTTCCCTTACATATTTACACCCTGTTTGGCCCCCATTACCTGAAAATGGTAATGGGGGGAATAGTATTTTTTAGAAAAATGAGTGGTTGAAAAAGAAGGTAAAGTTTTCGATTTACGTGTAATATTATTTTATAGAAGATTGTATGGTTAAAAATAAGAGAGAGAAAAATGGAATGTAATGTAATTTAATTTAATGTTAATCAAACAGGGGCTTAGTTATATGTCAATTCTACATTTATATATTTAATATAGTACTATTTAATATCCATTTAAGTGTAATGCTATTAATTAAATTAAAAAATATTTTTTAATTTCTTTAAATGGTTATTTAAGGCCAGCATTCGAGTTCCTTAAACAATATCCATTTTTCAATTTCATGATGAATAAATTGAATTAATGCTCCTAATAAAAATCTCTTATATTTTTAGCTATATGTCAATTCTACCCTTATATATTTAATATAGCACTATTTAATATAATTTAACTTCATTTAATATTCATTAAGTGTAATACTTATTATTTTATATTGGAGTACTTAAAATTTTACATTAATCAAATTAAGTTTAATTTCTTAATTTACATTGTTTAAATTATGTTTACCACTTAAAATTCAAGCTCACATATATAGGTGTAATTTTATTATAATTATGTAATAAAATATATTAAAGGTTGCATTAATATAATAGTAGATTAGTTATCATATAAAATAATATTTTTAATATTTTTAATATGATTATATATGTAGATGAGCTTTGATTTTAAGTGATTAAACTTAATTTAGTTAACCCAAAATTATGAATACTCCAATTTGAAAAATGAACTCCATACTTAAAAGGAGACCACATGAAATTAAATTTTAATTAATCTATTATTAATGCCACCTTTAATATATTATAATGCTATTATATACGTACATGTATATATCTTATATTATTTATTATTTATGTAAGCTTCATTTAAAATCAACGTTCATCTACTTATATAATTATATTATAATTACAATATAAAATAAAATAAAATGTGGAGATAGATGAGAAATGTTCAATTTATCATTTTGTCCTCATATAACATCGTCAATATTTTCATTCAAAAATTATAAATTTCACGTTTAAATAATTAATAGTCGATAATATAACTATTTAAATACAAAGGATGATTAATTGAGAAGAAAAAAGTTCTCAAATGTGATAAACATTTAGGAGAGAAAGAATCAATGATGGAAAAAATTATCCATCACTATTAAAAACCTTACTAATTACTCATAATAATTAGAAGTTACCCATACTTCTCATATTTATATCCACACACTAAACACAAGTTTTGCATCTCAATTACACATTTTCACTAAATTCAATTTTTTAAGTATTAATAAAAATTAATATTATGCGTTTTAAAAAATAATTAATATAGTATTGAGTATTTATTATTTCGTGTTCATTTTTATGTAAGCATAAAAATTGATGGTAATCATACTACTTATTATATATAAATATATAAAGAAAAGAAAAAGATTTTTATCTCGGTATATTTAAATAAAAAAATTTTATTCCTCCATTTGTATTAATCACATTCAAATGAAAAGGAAAACTTTTGTTTAAGGTTTTTCACTTCGATATCTATTTGAATGTAACTTTGATTTCTAATATAAAATAGATGCTATGGATTAATATGGCAATCATGATTAATATGTAAGTCTTTGTTTCTAAATATGTTTAGATAATATACTTTTTATTTTTATTTTTTAGGTTAAAAAAATTTATGGTACAGGCAAAATGAGTATTTATTTTTTTTAATTTGAAAATTATTTACGCATCTTTAGTTTACTTATACGTAAACATTTTAAACTTAATCAAATGTACATCTTTAAATTTGATTTTTCTTCGTGTTTGTCAATACCACAAAATTGATTGATGTCATAATAGTTGAAAATAGGAGTCCAACCATAGTCTAGCATAAATAAATAATTACATTTCAATTTATTCAATATTTTCACTTTACGTACGTAATTTTCATAAAACTTTTATTTATATGTATGTTCTTTAACAATTTTAATTTTTTCTTTTAACATTTTACGTATATCATTCATTTTGCACATAAGACGTGCTTACTGCTAGTAGGAGCCAAACAGGGGTTTAAGTTATGTTAACTTTTTGGAGATTGAAAAGATTAATGTTTGTACCAACATTATGATATTTTATTGGAGGAAATCTAATGTGACTTACGGGTTTGTTTACTTGTAAAAATTTGATTCAATGCACCAAATTGGATCAGGACGACTTCATATTCATCAATGATCCTCCTTTGCTTGTGATCAAATGTAACTTTTAATAATTATATTTGACAAAATAATTAGAAGTTCCAGTGTTTGTTTTTTGATAGCTTAAATCACACATTCATTGGGATTTTCGATTTTTATATATTTTTCAACAATATATTTTATTAACTTTTATTAAAATCTATTAAACATTTATCAAAAGTTTTGTCAAATAATCCCTTAATTACATCAAGATATGCTAAAGTCTCTTACTGAATCCACATTAACCTAGAAATTGCAACAACTAATTCATTGTAATATTTGATTTAGTAGCAATGGTTAGGCATATGGATTCTTTTCTATTCACAAATGTTTATATCTTTGACCTAAATGATTTCATTTTTTTTCTAAATTCTAATGATTGTTGAGAGTTTTAGCAGTTTTATCCTATGTGGCAGTTTATTAATTAAGGCACTAACTTTTTATTAGTTTGTCACCCATTGGTGTTTCAAATAATACGCTATCATATAAGATGACTACTGGTTATCGTTAATTATGAATAACATTATTCAATTTAAATATCAGTAGATCTCACTAATTTATTGTCTAATGAAGTCACTAGACAATAAATTAATCATTAGACAATGAATCAATGAATTTTATTAACACCTAGACTGATGTTGATGTTACGTAAAACAGCCATTTAATATGGTATGAATTTAGTTTTACGTCAAGTTAATGTTTGTTGGAAGCTAATGGTGAAGATTGCACATTGTCACTATTCTGATAAAAATAAATAAATAAAAATATTTTAATTAAGTAATCAAAAAATTAATCAGAGGGGATTTGAATTTTCTATAAAGCAAAAATTGAAGAAAAATCAAACTCCCGGTTAGATCAGCCACATCCACTATAAAACTGTCGTGCAAGTAAAAGGGAAAATTGTAATCACGGTACCAAACATTTCACTTTTATGCATACTTGATTCAAACATTTCATTTGTGCCACTCACAGTAACAAATCTTTCAAAAAATTAGCACCCGGGGTCCAAATAGATGGTTTTTGTTAATTATCCTTAGTTTGACCTCTTTTGACCAATTTAGAAAGGGTAAAAATGTATTTTTGTATTATTCTACCTAAAATAATTATATTAAGTAAATAAAATATCAAAAAAAGAAAAAAAAATAAAAAGGTTCTTCTTCCCTCCACCCCACCCCCACTCTCCAAAACCAAATTCGAAAGCCACCACCACCTTTTGCTGTAAT